TTCTTTTTGACTGATTTTATCCAACGTTGGGGAATTTTTTTCTTTGTAACCAGTGGTTACTAGTGGTGTGCGATACTGCATATTTTGGTATCGATCCGATTCCCATTAAATACATGTCAGTATCGCCGATATTGATACCGATACTTTTTAATAAATAAGGTGGATGCGTCATTGAATTGCTAAATCTTAATTAATTTTCATGACCTTAAGTGTTTTTATTATTAAATAGTTGAAACCCAGGACATAATTAGGACAAAGTTTATAATTAAATAGAAACCCATCTTGCCTCAATGACTACCGCCCAGTAGCACTCACCCCCATCATCACTAAGTGCTTAGAGCAGCTGGTCCTAGCACACTTCAAATCCTGTCTCCCCCCCACCCTGGACCCCCACCAATTCGCATACCGCCAGAACAGGAGCACAGAGGATGCAGTCTCCATCGCACTGCACTCTGTCCTCTCACACCTGGACAACAACAACACCTACGCCAGAATGCTGTTTATAGACTTCAGTTCAGCATTCAATACAATCCACCCCTCACAACTCATCAGGAAACTGACAGACCTGGGCATCAGTTCCCTCATCTGCAAATGGTTACTGGACTTCCTGACCAACCGCCCCCAACATGTCCGGCTGGATAACCACTGCTCATCTACCATCACAATGAACACCGGTGTACCACAAGGCTGTGTGATGAGCCCTTTCCTCTACTCCCTCTTCACCCACGACTGCAGACCTGCTGATGGTTCCAACACCATCATTAAGTTTGCAGATGACACCACGGTGATTGGCCTCATCAGTGACAACGATGAGGCCGCCTACAGGGAGGAGGTGGATCGTCTGGCTGAGTGGTGCGACACAAACAACCTGCTGCTTAACACCGAGAAGACCAAGGAGCTCATCGTGGACTACAGGAGGAATGCTGACCCACATCCACCCATCCACATTAAGGGGACGGCTGTGGAGCGTGTGAGCAGCTTCAAGTTCCTGGGAGTCCACATCTCCGAGGATCTCACCTGGACGACCAACTGCTCCAAGCTGGTCAAGAAGGCTCACCAGCGCCTCTTCTTCTTGAGGACTCTGAGGAAGAACCACCTGTCCTCAGACATCCTGGTGAACTTCTATCGTTGCACCATCGAGAGCATCCTGACCAACTGTATAACAGTCTGGTACGGGAACTGCTCTGCCTCGGACCGGAAGGCGTTGCAGAGGGTCGTGAAAACTGCCCAGCGCATCGCCGGAGCACCACTTCCTGCCATAAAAGACATCTACAGGAAGCGGTGTCTGAAAAGGGCTGGGAAAATCATCAAAGACCCCAGTCACCCATCACATGGACTCTTCACCCTCCTGCCCTCTGGGAGGCGCTACAGGAGCCTCCGGACTAAGACCACCAGGTACCGGAACAGCTTCTTCCCCACAGCTGTCAGACTCCTGAACTCTGCCTCCTGACATCTGACCCACGTTAACACATGGACTGAACATACACACACCCACAATGGACAACTGTACCCTCAAACACACAATAATAACATGGACTGAACCACCACTCACAACCACTAGCACTTTATATAGCCTCTGTAGAAATTATCCACATCACTCACTTATCTTAACTGCACTACTGTATAGCTCTGTGTAAATAATCATTCTGTACATAATTTTTAATCCTACAACTGTTTACAACTTGCATAGTTCCCATTTCTGTATAGCTGTATATCTCAGATTTCTGTAAAGTTATTTATTTCATATTCTGTATAGTTTTTCATATTTATATCCTGTTCATAGCCTGTACATAGCTTGTACTCACTACAGCCTGTACATACTTATAGTTATAGAATATTCACAACATACTTCATACCGTGTACATTATAACATACCATAATAGACCCATTTCTGTAATATACTCACATATCTATATTATTGCTAATATATATTGTAATATATCTATATCACTAAAGCACTTCTGGATGGATGCAAACTGCATTTCGTTGCCCTGTACCTGTGCATGTGCAATGACAATAAAGTTGAATTCTATTCTATTCTATTCTATTCTATTCTATTCTAAAATACTTTATTATTGTGGCTGGTCTGCGATGCCGCTGCAGGTGATATGGACTCACCTGCACCACATCTAAAATCACGCCTCGCTGGCTTAAAACCTGTGCTCTGCTTGTGTTGCTGTTGTTGGTGGTGATGTGTACGGCTGGCAGCTGGAGAGCTGCAGTTGTTGAATCCACTGTTACAGCAACGGTGTGATTATTGTAAGAATAAATGCTGTTGCGAAGCATGAAAATGCCACCGCACCTGTCGTGGTGGTTTAGTTATCAAGTTTTTTTTTTTTTTTTCAAGAAAAATCTTAAATAAAAAGTGCACACAAATCAGTAAATAAGTTAAAACAAGTACTGCTGAGAAACTATAATACAAAAATTACAATTGAAATTCTAAAGAACTGGTGAAAATATAATATGTAAACAACTTAACAATCCCCAAAGCGTCTAAGTCACGTGACAACGCAAGACTTAAACACAAGGGGGAGCAAAGTGTGCCTGCTCTGCGCTGACACAGGAGGCCTTGATAAAGGGTTGCGTTTTATTACTACTTGCAAACTTTACAAAGTCCTGCACTCAGGTCCCTGTCTCAGAGTTTATAACAAAACAGACTTCAAAGGAAACAAAATAGAAGTTGGAGTAAGATATGTGACGCTGAAGAGCCAAGTCAGGTTATTAAAAGGTGAAAAAAGAAGCTGCAGAAGTTGGAGTGTGGAGACCATCAATGTCTTTCTAGGATCCTGAAGTAATTGAAGTCAAATGCTGACTATAAATGTCAAAAAGAGAGGGGAGGTGAGCTGCTGGCCTGTAGCAGTTTCACAGTTTGCTGAATTCCTCTTGAAATTCCTCTCTTGGCATTTTTTACTGTCACTGATTGATTTTTCTTTCTATACTTTATCTATTTTTAAATATCCTTTTTTCTGTACTAAAATATATTTCAGTGAAATACTATTTTTTAGCTGCCTATCTCTGCGGGTTATTTCCCTCTGGTTTGGAGTCACTAGAATTTCACTTAAATGGCCTGAAACCAAATTGAGAACACATAAATAATGAGTCGAAGACATCAGTTTTAGTTATCTCATATGAAGAACTTGTGTGGTTAAAAAGTTTTATATTTGATATTGGATATGAATATTTTTAGAAGCACAAAGTACGCCGACTGTTTCCTCTGAGATACTGTGCCTAAAATTCTGTCATGTTTTTGGTACATGTGCAATCATGTGAAAACATTTTTTTTCCACAGGACTCTATGCAGTCTTGTGAAAAACAAGTACACCCTTACTGTTTTCCACAGGAATCAAGGCAGTACAAAGCAGAAAGATGCTGCTAATCAAATGCATTTGATTAAATGAACATTTCGGCAGTTTTCAGGCTTTTAGGTGAGTGTTAACAAAATGTCACAATCTTCCAAGGAGTTGATATCCAAGAAAATTCACCACAAGGTCAGACTGTGCAATGCTCAGACTCTACAGGCCTAATTTAGCATAATAAACGCTACAGTTCATGACAATACAATTAGAAAAAGACTAAACAAGTACGGCTTGTTTGGAAGGGCTGCCAGGACAAAGCATCTTCTTTCCTCAAAATAACATGGCTGCAGGCTATAGATTCACAGATTAGCATCTTCAAAACAACAACAACAAACAAACAAAAAAGCCCTCAGAAGACTTCTGGAACCAAGTCCATTGAACCAAAGTGGAGATATTTGACCTTACCATCAATGGACTGACCCACGAATCACAATGAATTGAAGCAATGTTATAAAAAGAAAGAGTGGGCTACAATTCTTTCACAACGATGTGAGAGACTGACAACATCATACAGAAAAGATTACTTCAAGTTATTGCTGTTAAAAGTGGTTCTACAAGCTACCGAGTCACAGAGAGCTCTTAGTTGTTCACAGACTGCTCACATGGCTGTGAAAACTCTCATTTTCACATGACTGCGGACCGTGATCTTCTTTCCACAAAAATAAGAATTAAGTCATGCAATGAAAAGCAAAGCTGGTTCTGCATCAACACTAGTACTGGTGCCTTAAAAAAGACACAAGATGACCCACGTCTACTGGTGACCTTTTTCGCCTTATAAAGGTGTGTAGTAGCTGATGATAGGGAGTTAGGTTGGGACAGAGAAACCCTGGAGGACTTCAACAGTGCATAAACTGCTATTTTTGTGCTAGAGCAAAACTCCTAAATGCACTGAGCGTACAAACAGCACACATTCAAAGCAGGAGTACTTGTGGTTGGCTGATTGGGTCTCTGGTGAAGAGAGTCAGATGTAAGCCACAGAGTGCTCCTTCAGTCGCTCCGCCATCTTCAAATGGGCCATGCAGGGTTGTTATCTACATTGTGAGATGAATGTGAGGGCTAACACCCAGAATCTGTGCGCACACCTTTGGAAGGAGTGTGTTGCAAAAAGGAGACATCTTTTACTTGAAACATCTGACAGCTACACTTAGAATTTTATGGAAAGAAAGCGCAAAGCTCCACACCAAACACACCACTGGGAGAAACTCTCAGGAAATGACTGCAATTCTGTTGCTTAGAGGAAAAAGTGCTGCTTTCTTTTTTGTTTGGCCGTGACTACTGCGTTTCCTCTCTCACAAACAAGAAGTCCTTCACAAAAAGAAAGAAAAAACTCCAGTGAAACACACATCTGCTGGACACCAAAACCAAGAACCTCATCATAATTAATGCCAGCGGTATGTCCGACAGATGCTTGATGACGTACTCTTTTAGAAATAAAATTTCATGTGGTGTTGCCTTACTGACTGTGCTTAGTTCCACGAGAATAAGAAAGCAACTCCTTTATACAGCAGAGAACTGCCATAGCAACTTGAAATCCACTCAAAGCTGGTTTTGCTGTTTTATCAAGCAAAAACGGGGAGCAGTGATAGACTTTAAACTTGTTTAAGAAATTAAGCAGTGGTTTTAAATGAAGGCAATCATTCTTACCTATGTGTTTCCCATACATGTGGTAGAAGAAGCCAAAGCAGTAGGCAGGTGGATTGGTGATACCGTAAGGGTTTTTAGGTGCTACGTTGAAAAATGGACTTATAAGCCGTGCTTGGTCTCCTTCCTTGCGCGGTCTTGACGTCTCGATGTACATGTAGAAACCTTGAAATGGATAAAAACACACATGCGGACACCAGAGTTATGAGAACAAAATAAAAGGGGTTCTACATTTTCATAAACTGTGGTCTGATCTTTCAGTGCCTTCTCATCCTCTCGTGTCAAATACTCCCGTTTTATCAGAAGAGACGGCTGTTCTTCGGATTAGATCTTAAACCAATAGGTGTGGTAATACAAACTGCCAAGAGCTGATGGTCTAATTTAAAAAAGCAGAAAAGACTTATTAGAAGTGTGGCAGTGGCTTAAGTCACAGGTTTCACAGCTGTTGCATCTTTCTCATAATTTGTTTTTTTTAATTACTTGCTGATTCGTTTTGCCTTTACTCCCTTTCTACCTTTGCTTGGTTAATTTTAGCCATCAAACCTACCCGGCTTCACGAGATTAATGCAGCAGGTTTGAAAAAAGCAGGCAAATAAACTTTAAATATGATTGCACGCATACAAAGATCCATATGTAACATACTGGGAGTGAGATCTGTATGAGAGGAACATAATAGAGCATCTAAATCAAAACTATTGACACAGTGTGACTAAACTAATAACACAGTTTTCATGACTTTACTAAACAAACTCATCATTTATTTGCTGAGTGAATGCTGACCCCAGCCCAGCAGCCAGACCCTGAACTTTAACAGGTAACAAGCAGATGAGCAGTCAGGCTGCTTCTTCCATTTTAAGCTGTTTATATTTAGTTATATATATAATTATATCTCTATATATTTCTCTGAATACTTATGTTGGCCCCATCAGCAACTTCACTGTCCCTGACTGTGAAATGTCACAAACATTTCTCTTTGAATCCCTGACAAATTGTTTTATCACTGTAAATATTGCGGTAATGACACCTTCCATAATAAAGATAAGGGCCAGAGCTCACTAGTCGCAAAAAACCTGGCACAGATACAGTGAGGTTACATTTATGGTCCCTTGGTCTGACAGCGGTGGACAGCAGCAGTGATGCCTATAAGTCAGACAGCCCTCTGCGTGCGAGCCAAATTATCTGAAGCCAATCTCAGCCCAGCCACAGGCACAGGCAAGGTAGCTTGTGAGCCGCTCCACAGCCCTCCAGCCAAAATCAAATGGAATATCTCCCTCAGCTGAATCTCATATTAGATAATTATGCACAAAAAAATGAATGGGGCTGCTAATGAAATGCTGGACATTTTGAAACCATTAGGTGATTAAAGCCAATGCATTATTTACTGCCTCAGCTGCTGCTGCTGGTACCGTAGCACCATAATAGGCACCAACTGTATATTTCACCACAGACAACTTCCATCAAAGGATTCATTAAAAATCCTCTAAAAGACTCTTGCATATCCATTTTTCTTATTTATTCCTTGAATATGCAATACCTGTACATGCAGCTCTCGAGAGCGAATGCTAAACTTACTATGCAGAGTCTAATTTGGGTGCCATGGAAACAGCGACGAGGCTCATTTAGAAGATTATCTTGCAAATAAATGATGATCAAGGATCCTCACTGTTAGTTTGTGCAGCATCAAATATTTGGTGACACAATGAGCACAGCTGAAATCATCTTCTTTGAATTGTCCCATCTTATTTCGTCGTTTTGAAAAGTGACACTTGTTTTTGTTTGTTTGCAAATAAACATATGAAATAATCAAAATGCTATGTGTCGTGCACTGACCGATAATGTGATAATCACATTGCTTCACTGTCCCCTGGGGGCATTTGTGGATTCATTCATTGTGGATGGAGCACAGAAGAAACAACAGTGTCCATTTAAATGTGTGCATTCAACATGCTAATTTCTAATACAACAAGCAGGTAGACTTTTTTCAGAGGCTTGCTGACAGCTGGCAAGAATGATCACTAAGGCCTAGACCAGCTGTGGTTTTTACTATTACCACAGATTTTTGCAATATCATTGCTCAGCCGTACATATAAATCACAAGATGAGAAATATTATGAAATTACTTGCCCACTGGTTAGTGAACGTTAAGGTTGGTCACGATTTGTGTTATACTCTGCAATATTTTTATTAATGCATAGATTTTTTTGCTACAGTGTCCACTGTAATTGTAGCCTATAACATTTATTCAGAGAAGAGAAACAATGAGTTCTTGGCAAAGACACTCTTATCATACATGATAATGACCCCGATTGCATTACAGCAACGTGGCGATCAATATACATTGTAAGCTCATCTATGATATATCACCACATCTCTATAACTGCAGGTAAAAAATATGCTCCGAATGGACCCAACCCCTCCCAAAAAACAAAACAAAAAACGCATGTATGTATTTACTAGGGTGTTAACTTACCACCATTTTTTCCCTACGATTTTTTTTCTTTTTCAAAGCAACTTAGATCACTTATGTTCACATTGCTCCCTCTTGATATGGAGGAGTAATGACATAATTACTCTGCTAATTGAATTGGTGGGGACAGGGTCACAACGCCTGCATTTTATGTTTTAATAAAACTATCAATATTTCTTTCCACTGCATTGATATTATATCGCAAAAGGAAGCCAATACAATGTACCGCCTCATTGATATTTTGTCTGACCTCTAGGGAGGGCTAACGCACAGGCAGATTGTGCTAAACAACAGGCCATTAAAAACAGCAACGCGCTGTTTTACAGTTTATGTATTTGGGGCCTTTTAAAATGCACCGATTCATCCATTTATTGTGATTATTATCTTTTCCTTGTGTTTTTCAGGAGACAACAAAGACCACTTGGCTTGGGCGATGTGTTAAAAACTTCCAACCAGCCAACCTGAGTGTAACAACTGGCAATAAGGATTGTGCGCACGTGTGTCGATTTCCGGAGTTCTCCCACTCCCAATGAACCATTTCCAGCAAATGCAATCATGGAAGAGTATTTTGAGAAAAAGAATACATAATCACCTAACTGGGATCATTTCGGTTTTGAACCAGACAAAATGGGCAATCTGAAGGACTCAGTGACCTAAGGGACTATGCAATCAGATGAAGGATACCTCTGCTTACATCCTCTGAATGAACAAACAGATGGGGGCATAAAACATGCCATGATATGGTCGGGAAACTTAACCACACATACATTTTTGCTCCAATTCTTAAAGATGACTAATAGTTCAACCTTTTAAGGATAAAGGATAAAAGATCTGATGTCTCAACAGGACCTGGAAAAACTAGTCCATGCATTCATCTTTAGCAGGCTTGATTACTATAACAGCATCTTTACAGGTCTACCTAAAAAAATCAGTCAGACATCTACAGCTCATTCAGAACTCTGCTGCTCGAGTCCTCACTAAGACCAAAAAAGTGGACCACATCAATCCAGCTCTGAGGTCTTTACACTGGCTGCCTGTCCGTCAGAGGATAGACTTGTCTATAAAGCTCTGAATGGTTTAGGACCAAAATACATCAGTGACCTCCTGACCCAGTATGAACCTTCCAGATCCCTCAGGTCATCTGGATCCGGTCTTTTATCAGTTCCCAGAGTCAGAACCAGACACGGAGAAGCTGCATTCAGCTTTTATGCTCCTTATATCTGGAACAAACTCCCAGAAAGCCTCAGATCAGCTGAAACACTCAGTTTATTTAAATCCAGGTTGAAGACTCACCTGTTCTCAGCTGCATTTAAATAAAGCACCAAATCCGCACTTAAGCTTAAATTTCAAAACTTACATTTTAACTACTGATTTTATCTATTGTTCTGATTTTATCTGTTTTGATTTTTGATTTTATATACTGTTTTGTTTGTTAGTTAGTTACTGTAGTTAGTTAGCTTGTTTTAATCAAATTTAAATCATGCTTTTTTTTGTTTTTGTTTCTAATGTCTCTGTAAAGCACTTTGAATCACCTTGTTGTTGAATTGTGCTATATAAATAAACTTGCCTTGCTTTGCCTTAACTCCAATTGATGGGTCATTTCAACTAAAGACAGCTTCACTGACATTTATTCAATGACGTATTTTGTCAAAGAAAAAAAATCATGGAATGTGCGTGATGTGGGACAACTCAACCTGCCAGTTGCAATTACTACACGCCTTGAATATTTCTTTAGAGGTTAATTATTTATCAATTTCTCTCTCAAGGGCAGGCCATCAAATTAGCAAAGTAAGACAATGAGAATCATCTCCTCCATTAATAAAAAAATAAGTAGACTTAGCCACTAGCTAAAACAAATATGCAATACTTTTACTAGGGATAAGCAATGATTGGCTAGTCGCTGCTTGGACATGTCAAGGGTGGAAGTTTGAGCTCCTTACCTTGCTTGGAGCCACTGTGATCACCACTAGGGCCAGTGTTGGGTGTATACTTGGTGTCGCGGGTGGCTGCACTGTGTCGCGTCCAGTCAAAATCATCATTCTTGTCCTGGGTGAACATGCAGATGGGCTCCTCCTCAAAGCTGCAGTGGAACTCTCCTGGTGAATGACAGAGCACGTCGTTTCAGAAGAGTGAGAAGTTACAGTACACTGCTATGTCTTGAGTAGCGCGACACCTACTGTATATCTATGACATTTCCTGCGGCATGTGTGCGTGTGTGCATGTGTCTCGGGGGGATACATAGACCAACCCGAGTCCTAATTACATCATGCAATCTGGTGAAAAGAATTTCTATATTAAGATGTGACCTCTCACTGACTGTGAGGGAGGTGCCATTGAATGTGTTTTTCCTTTTTTCTTGACTACGACATGCAGTTCTGTTTTCTACTTAACCAGAGTCTATGAAGACAGAGTGCGCCACTGAAGAAACACCCAAAGGCGGTTTGTGTGTGCGACTATCAGACAGCCCACTACCGAAGCATGATGGATGACATTCAATAAACGCAGCCACAGCACAGTAAATAATTTCAAACTTAATACAAATCTCCTGTTAAAACATAATTTTGTGAGGTTTGGCACAGATACAGTAGAAAACTTATATCTGAATCAGGTGAGCCACTTGTGATTTTGAACAATCCCCCGACATCCCCCCTTTTTAACAGGTTTAAAAGAAAAATGGGGTGATTGTTCTCCAATGTTTCATATCCTCTAACCAGTGAGACTTCTTTAAACCTGACAACCGCCTTTTCTATCAGTTTCCATCTTCTCTGTAGTAGGTGTGCAGGTGAAAATATTAAGTCCCCCTACCCGTGACAACAAGTTCAAAACAAGTGGAATGACTGAATGAGGGTGGAACGACGTTGTTATTGGTCACATGAAAGGGAATGTATAAGTGAATAGACTGTGATGATGAGTGCAAATCCCCATGCACTCAGTTTAATGAAGGGGTAGTGGCTGGATCGACTCTGTCAAAAAGAAGAGAGAAAAAAAAACCCAAACGATGCAAAAAGCACCTGACCAGAGGACTTGGCGGCGCTAAGCGGTGTCCTCAAAGAGATAGCAAAAAACACAGCATTTAGATTCAGGACGCAGGCATGTGCTCTGATAAATATTCATTGATTTATTAAAACGTAGCTGGGAGCAGTTTGGAGTGGTGACCTTGAGAGGAGCGGGATCTGCAGCTTTTACTCAGGTAATGGAGGTAACACAGACGTAGAGGTGTGGTGTGGGTGGATGGGCCGGGGGATGGAAGAGGGCAGTGATGCTGCGAGGCAGAGAGAGAGCGAGAGAATGAGCTCGAGCGAGAGAAGAAGAGGTGGTGGAGAGGGAAAAGTGCAGCAAGGGGCCGCGTTTGAGGCACTCTTGACTCTCCTCCTCATGAGCATGCAGATTTAAATGGAGGTCTAGCTCCTGGTGCTAGACATTAACGTCCCTATCCGCAGCGAGCTAAACTAAATGTTTTCGCCTCGTGCGCCTCAGAGAGATAGGAGGATTTGGAGGATAGGCAGAGGAAGGAGGCAGGGGGGAAGGGGGGGGGGCATGTAGGTAAGATAGTTTCCTGGAGGGATTTGGATAATGATGTTGGTGATTAGGATGTTTGCTATTATGTTGGCAATGTTTCTGTGAACACCCACCAAAATATATATCTATAAAAATAAATAAACCACGATACAAGGCAGCACACTGCCGCACAGCAAGCAATGATTAAGTCTGGATTCTCAAGGCATGAATAATGTGAATTTGTAAAGTTTCAACAATGAAACAATGCGTCATAAATGAAGCTAAACATTAAAGAATATAAACAGCTATGGCACAAATGCATGCATAATTAATGCTCACAGAGCACAGAAGGTGCAAATAAACTCATGCGCCCAGAAACACACACACCCACACACACACACAGATACACCAAACGACATCCAACATCTCATGCAAACGCCGTGTCCAAAATGCACAATGTCAAATATCCTGACGCAAGCCTACCCTTTTCTAAAGGCAAGCCTTGCTCAATCATTGCTCATTTACTCCTGTTTTAGAGTCGTTTAAAAACATCTTCCAGTTCAAAACTGATTATTTAAGTCGGCTCTCTATAGACGAGACAGTTACTTGGAGTATCCCCACTGTTTTCACAGCTGGTGTTGTGTCAGAAGGAGCACTCTGTCTGATGAGACATGCTAAGTGAGGTGCACATTACTTACTCAGGTGAGGGTTGATGGGAGCTGTGGAAGAGAAAGGCCAGGGATAATCGTTAGTACAAAAAAATCTTAGCAGTCTGTCATTACATGAAACACTTATTAAGAGAAAATGTGCATGGAGGCACACGCCGACGTAAAAGAGCTCAACCTGTTGCACCTTCAGACTCTGTGTGGCTGCCTTGTGAGCTCTGCTATTCAGCAAGTAGCAGAGTATTACACAGGCATATATTAACCTTTTGTGAGCAACAAGGAACATATTATGTAAAGATATAGCAGAGAAATAAGAGCTTCAGTAAAAGTGGGACTCGTCTGTCTGTCTGTCTGTGTAGCCTCTGCTTTGCAGTGAGACAGAAACACACAGTGAAAGTGCTTACTAAACATTTCTGACCCATTTGTCATACAGAGCTAGCATGGTCTAACAGCCGTGGCAAGACAGGTTTCTTTCTGGAGTGTGTGACCGCAGAAACAGAACACTGTTTGCAAAGTATCTGTGCTTCATCTCTGTAAAGCACTTTTGCCTTCTCACTGTAAAAACACGAAGGAAACAGACGGCACCAATCAACTCCCGCACTCAGAACAATGATTATTGAGCAGACACAAAGAGAGATGTCTGGGATTTGAAGTGGAAAAGGTGACAGCATTTATTCGCAGTCTGTTATCTAATGTAAAAGAGTGAGGGATTAGGAAGACCAGCCTGACCACATTAATAAGCTTATAGCGCAACTGCTTATCATTACTGCCATTTACTGGCTTTGCTGATGTTCTTGTCCAAGGTGACTTCCATTTAGAACACTAAGCCTATTTTATCCTTCCATTTAGGAGCCAATAAATCACAAAAATGAGTAATAATCACAAGTGTGTCTGCTAATCAGTTTCCTGCAACTTATATCCTGTCTTTTCAAACCCATCATTATGAAAACTTTGAGATCAAACGCTAACGGAAATACACCGAGGACTTCTTTTGCATTCTGTCCACCTAACCACAGTTCAATGCTTCCCTCATTGATAATTTAAGAGGCTACTGCCGCAGCAAACACATAAAGGTCAAGGGTATCACACAGAGTTGCAGCGAGCCAGTTAGTCGGCACTTCACTTTTTGCAGAGTAAATACCATTTAACCTGTCAAGAAGATTCATGGGCATTTTCATGATCGATTGCTGACCGGCTGAATAGATGCGATACATCAGCTTTACTACAAAACTATGTTGCTGGGTGATTTATGAAACCTTGCTGTTCATGGAGGGAATTGATTTTAATCCAACCAATTAAAGTGAGTAATAACAAATCATTCCTACAAAGGAAAACATGTAGTGAGAGTGGCGAAGTACAGTGGCTCTGATGAAACTGCTGTTTTTAAAAGCTCAAGTTACAAAAAAAAGGAGGGATTTCTGTTTATTGTTGTGTAATTCGTGGAAATGTATGTTTGCTCGGGGATAAAAGGGGAGATAGACAAAGACACATGCCGTGAAGCAACTAAAATTGCATTTTCAGCGCACACCTTCCTTGAAAACGCTTTAAGAATCTTTTATGTGACTGTGAAAATACTCGCCGCCCGACAGTCACTGCTTCCCACTGAATCTACAGTGGACTGCACAGAGCAGCACAGACTGCAGAGGGGGAGGAAATCATCCCGGCTGTTGCAGAGAAAATGTTTTAAATGACAACTTACAGCCTCGAGCCTGCGAAACGGATGCTGAGGTTTCCGACAAAACTCTATTCTTTCAGGCCCCCTCCTGCTCGCCGGCTCTCTCCATCTCAATGTCCCATTTCCTGTAACTCTCACTCCCTCCCTCCCAAATCCCTCTTTCTTCCGATACTGTGGTTATGAAAATGTATTTCGTTGTCTGCATTTTTTTTTTACCTGCAGCTTCCCTCGACTGACTCACTACGCCTTAATCCAATCCAAAAGAGTGTGTCTGCTCAAGCAGTGTCTCCATACACACTAAGGAAATCAAGCTGTGCACAGAGAAGGCCCAGAGGCTACTTTTACGACTGTTTTGCATGCAAACACTCTCTCCAGATCACACTTGCATAAAACAGATAATTTTACTTCCAGTATAGATGACTATATTGGATATGGGAAAACAAACAAGCATTAAAATAAACTGCGACAGAGCTCAGCTGTTGACTCGAGCGTTTTAAATGAAGCACTTTTTTTAAAGAAACGTTGCCGCCTTGTCTGTAACTGTGTCTGAACTCCTGAAAACAAGTAGCAGACCTCAATTGCCCTTCTTCAAATGCGCCATGCCGTTAAAGCAGAGATGTGCAAAACCCTCGAGCTCACTGCAAAGGCTTTAAAAAATATCCCAGATTTTCTTCTTAATGCTGCAGCACCCTGCTTTTCCCCCCATAGCTAAAAAGCCTCAAATAATGATTGAGGATGAAATGTAATTTTGATAGTTGTCAAGATAAAAACTCCCAGTGATCACACAGTGGAGTGAAGAGCGGATTTTTCTTTTCTTTTTTTTCTTTCAAACTTCTGTTATTAGAGCACATATTAGGTGCATGTCTGCCTGACTCCTGGTTTATACTTTTCCAGCTGAGAGGACAAAACAAGCTGCATGCTTGATGCATGAATGCCTTCCATCCAAATTGCCTAATTTTGATTGAAACACAAAGTGAGCTTATTGACCGCCAAAGGACATTGGTCCATGGAGGCTGTTCCGGATACAATCACTGACTTCATCTTGGCAGGATTCCCTGCCCACTGGCCTGCGGCTACATTACAAAGCAGCAGACAATTCCAAGGCTCCAGCCAAGTGTCCTCATAGACAACAGTGGCATGCCTGGTTTTATCCTTTCTTTTTTTACTGACCTCATATAATCCACACACTCCCACATTCCCATCAATCATATTTAGGGGTTATGGGTGCGTGCCATGATGTTCTGAGAAGGCCCTGTGTTGGCTCCACAGCTGCCCAACCATCAGCTGGAATAATGACAGTGTGGGTAAATGTAGTTCAGCAATCTTTCCCTCGTGTCTCCGTGACCAAAATAACAAGAGCGACATCACACCATTGTGTCCTTTTTTACAAAAGCCTACTGAGGATGCACTGCTCTGCACAAGTCCTGCAGTAACACACATGGACACACCCGAGCCATGCTGAGCCCCGTGCAAGGCTGTTCTTTCATTAGCGCACATATACATATATGCACTGATGGATTGGCATTCACTTTAATCTAAAGAACTGAAGTATAAATGACAGAACAAAGAAGACAAAAGGATATTTGATTTGATTTTATTGATTAGCATTCAAATATCTCAGTGAAGACAGAACAAAGATCTACCACAAAGCAAGAAAGCATGAGACAAGGCTAATCAAAAGGTATTGGCTGAAGCCATGTCATGTCACAACATGTTACAGCAGCAATCAAAACAGTTCAAATCATAAATATGCTGGTCCCAACTCTTCTACCAAAAACAGGAGTGGATTTCAAAGGAATGTCAAACAGAGGGACCATCCAGCTGAGCACGGGGAATCCATGAGTCATGCCTTGCACACTTGGTGAGCATAGATTAGCACGAAAAATGGAAACAGCGAGAATCAGCTAGCTCTGTCTGAATCTTTCAGGAGGTAAAGAATCCCAAACACCAGCACCTCTAAAGCTCAATAATTAATATGTCATATATCATTTAATTCTTACCAACTAAAAAAGAAAGAAAAAAAAAGAGTGAAAACCTCTATAGCTCAGAGATCTTTAAGGCTTTTGAGCAGTTGCCAGGCTAAAAAGAAACTCTGGGGAGTCACTGCTACAAGGCTAGCTGTTCAGTCTTTGTTCTAATCCAAGCTCACTGACTGCTGGCTTATATTTAATGAACAGATATGAAAGCTGTATTGATCTTGAATAAATGTATTCCTTTAAGTGAAAGTACTTTATAAAGCAGGACTACTGAGCATGTACAAAATACTGTATCAAAACAGCAGCTACTATATAGCTATAGCTGTAGCCAAGGACTGCGCTGCAACATGTGCTGTATCTTATTGGTCATGAACATGATTATATGATCAAAAAATGATCAAGGAAGATAGCTTCTGAGGGTTGGTACTATGTGCTGAAAGCTTTGGGTAGCTTAAAAAATATATAGATAAAATATAATCTGAATTCTCAGCTTGCTTCACAGCAACACAAAGAGACAGAACCTGTGACAGCTTTACCACTGAATCACTGCTGGTCAAACAGAAACACCCCACTTACAGTGAGAAACTGAATTTAATATAAGATTTAGGGAGTTTTGCCTTGAGGAGAGGTGTTGTATATGTCACTGCAAGGTGCATAAAAATGGAATATTAAGAAACAGCAGTAGTGTTTTACTGTGACACTGTGAGGGTTGACTGGAGGCTTAAACATTAAATCCTGTGTATTGGAGGAAACAAGAGAGGAAGAGAGACATAGTGGGAGGGGAGCGTTATGAGGAACACCAAACAGATGCTGAGTTTGTCACTGCAGCAAAATTTAAAAGAGCATCTTCAGAGCTTGGTGACATAGCCATTCTTCATCTTGCAACTGGGGACACTGTAACCGCTTTTGTGTTTTCGTGCCAAGTCACAGAAAAGCTGCTACCATTGACTTTATGTGGTTCAGAATGATTGCTCGGCCTTTTGGGCAATGATGGAAAAAACTTCCTCTAATGGAGGACTTATGTTGCAATTTAACACAGGGCAGAAATGTTCAAGCTAACAGCTAACAAACAGACAAAGCCGTGTTTTTTCTGTAGGTTTTCTTCATTTTAGGGTCACAAGGAGGAAGAGACTATCCCACCGTGCAAGGCAAACACATGAAATACGTTTATCGGTTGCTGTTCAACTTCCCATTTATGCAAATACTCAAATAAATGAATAAATGAATGCAATTACCAAAGTGTCTGCTGAGTCTATGCACAAATTTAGACTGGAAGAGCCAGGGCTAAAGGTTTATTCAATCCCGCAGCCTCCTTATGGTGAAGCAACATTGCTTGCCACAAATTAATCCAGTTAAAATTAATAAAAATGCAAAAGTCATTAAATTGATTAATTTGGGTTAGTAAACCTTATTTGTGCTTGGACCCTTTGGGAGTTTCCCAAACAGTCAAATATTGGACATGTCTTTGAATCAGGACAATAGCAAATGCAGGACTGCCATGAAAATGCTACTTTAGATTTATATACCAAAGACAGGACAGGACTTAAACATAGTGATTACATAGCGATAAATAGAAAAACTTTTATGACTTTTTTTTCAATTCACTATAAATTTTCAAACCCATAAAGCCTTTGTGCTACAGCCCATACACAGATGCCCCACAGGTCCATGTTCCCCAGTGAGAATGAAACTGAAGTGATAATGGAGATGGTCCTGGGCTGTATTTCACACATCAGTCTCAGAGCAGAGTGGATACGGTTCAGCCCTACATTAGCCTGCTACCGTGGCGTTATGCTGTGTGTGGGAGAACAGAGCAGCCCTAGAGTGATAATTAGTCCAGCCTCTCGCTGGGCAGGCGATTTGCACGTCAGCATTGGCTCTCCTCTTTCTATCTTTTTTCTCCTTCTTCTTCTTTTATTAATTTGTTCCCCTGTATCTCCCTTTTCTTCCCAGTCCCAACTTGGCTGCCTCCATCACTCCTTCTGCGCTACTCCCTGCCTTAATTAGCCTCAATTCCCCTCACTTCGCTTCGACTGGATTCATTTGGATTCAACTCCACTGAATTCAATTCAAGGTTGACCGGGGGAACCGCGCAGTATCACAAACTACTACAAAAATAACAGCGGAGAAAGTTTATCTGCCTCTCTCATTTCTCTCCTTTTTCCCAATTCTCTTTGCAGAAGCCATGATGAGCTGCAGTGAAACTGAATTATTCACAACTGCAGCAGCACCACTCCGGAAGAACTTGGCAGTCAGTGATAGACAGAAAACAGTCAGTCACTTAGTTTCTGAAGATGTACATCTCAAGTACCTGTGCATCTGTTCACTGGTACTACTGGGCCAACTGTGGATACTACTGTAGTCTTTGTATTGTTTTTGCCAGCATGCCATCCCACAAGCTGGAGAATCTATCTCTGTTTGCAACCTGCTATTTCGTTCTGTAAAGAAATACAGTGTGTTTTGATGTATTCTCAGTGGTCGCAGTACACAAAATCCTTGTGATGTCCTTCTGGCTGCTATTTTTGGCTGCTGTACTTTTATCAGAGAGACTCTTCTGATTCAACCTCAGTTTAACCTCATTTGTTATTATTGCTTTATCTCCTTAAATCCAAGACTACTGTCTGAGATACCCACCTGAGAACCGTCGCAAGGCTATAAGGTCAAAATGAACAACCTTGAGCTCTATAGATGAGATATACTTAGGAGAATTTTGAAATACAAAGTCTATTTTGAGTCCTTTTCAGTCTGGAGATAACAACGAGTGACGATTTTGTTTCATCTGAATCAGAAATGTAAATAGAAGATTTAAAAAAAAACAGCAATAATCAACGGGTCGGCGATCCAGATGTTACTGCTCCTGTTTTAAAAATTCTCGAGTGCAACTCTCATCTACATTTTGATGCATCAGAAATAAATCCTAGATGCATTTTAGTGGTGGCAGTAAAAGGTGGCCATTTCAGTCAGTGTGACATCCTTGGAAACCTTTGAAAAAAATTCTGCCAGTTGGGTTTTTATAACAAATTCAACCTGGACTCAGAACAAGGGGCCCCAGGGAGGACGAGGTCAGTATGACTAGATGTATTTATTTATTTAGTTACAATTTTTCAACCTTTTTCTCTCTCTCTCTCCTGTAGCTCTTGCTTTTTTCCCTTGCTGTCCCTCAAGTAACTTCACGCTTTCTCTGGAGCAATGTTAGCACTGTAGCGATCTGCAATTACTGGCTGCACCGATCTGCGCTTTGCTTATTGTTACAAACTGCCTCCACTTCCTTTGGAACCCGGCACGCTCTGGGCAGACGGCGTCCCTCCCTGCGACTGGTTTTGTTTTGTTGTGTGTTTCCCTGTTGCGTATTAAATCATTACCGGTGCTGCTGAGCTCTTCCAAAAAAGGGTAATTATTGCGGTTTTCTCTATAAAATCTGAGTATTTGTAAAGCATTTTGTGGCTTGTTTTAGAAAATTGCTACATAATTATTATTACTTTTATTACTGTAGTCTATATAAAATAAATCAAATAAAATTATTACTGTTCTATCTGCCCACCGAGTCTGGGCAAATGTACAGTAAGATTTTTATGCTTTTCATGTCAGGGTCCATGTCAGGCATGGTGAGGGCAAGAACCTTTCAAAATATTTACAATGTGAAATTGAAAAGCCATTTATTATATGAGAAACAATCCGGGGGACTAATCAGATCCTCCGACAAAGACAAAAGACAGAAAATTGCATTGTTTTGGGAGGGGGGAACCGAGCGAAGGCAGCAAAGCATGACTCATCTCTGACCAGCTCTGTTTGGTCTTGTTACCCGGGCTACATGCTTGAGTCATCTGAAGCTTCAATGTCATGATGATCTCTCAAGCACAGACACAACAAGTCAGCCTTTGCCCCGGTACAGGGGAGAGCTGACTCAAGCAATGAAGGTCACTAAGAAGGGATTAGTCAGTTGATCAGCATCCATTTGGCTCAAAGGAGAAAAGAAGCAAAGCCGGCTGAATTCGAGCTGTCTACAGATGACTGAATGTGTTACATGCAATTCAAATTACTTCAATCAGTTCCCTTTTTTTTCCCCACTCGCTCTTTCCTCGTACGTCTTATGCAAAATAACTCATCATCGGATCTTTGTAATGACTGCTGATGCTACGGCGAACTTTTGATATCATCATTAGTGATGAACGTACGCCGTAAGCACAAACTTCAGCGGGAGTTAAAATTGCTTGTCTCCTTTACCTTGTTTTTATCTGTTTGCTGGCTGTCAAAACACTGAAACAATAGAAAAAGTATGTAGCGCTTACCACTGTAGGTGACGATACGGATGGCGGAGTCCCCCTCGCCGAAACGCGTGATGGGCGTGAGGCGCACCTCGTAAGACTCGGGCTTTATCAGCTCAGTCAGGTTATGTGTCATGAGCTCTCCTTTGTTGATTGTTCCATCCACTGGGATCTCCTGCTCCCACCAGCGCTGGAGCCCCATCTGTGTCGGAAGAAGAACCACATGAGGTTTGGGATATTAGACATTTGCTAGTTCTGTTTATAACTAACAGATTTTCAAATAGCAAAGTGTTCCTGCTGCTGTTGAGGATTGGTATGTTCCCCTTCACCCTTTGTTCTATTTTTCCACCTTTCTGCTCCACATCTGAGCAATCAGCATCAATATGATGCAGTATATGGTATACTTGACAGACTCCTCTTTTGTTGTTACCTCCCACAGCCAAGCAGTTGGACCAGCCTTGGGTTTCTTTTTCCCGTATTTTCCTTGTTTGTATCATTTGTTCTGACTGTTAGCTCATTTTACAGACCTTACCTTTTGCTTTCATGCACCATTTGCTTCATCTAAAGTCCTCCCATGCATGAACGCTAGTCTGTAAATAAAGATCATTTGGGTTCTTGTCTCTGTGAACTGTTCACACTTTTCAAAGAGCTGTTCTCAATACTGTACCAATAACAGATCACAGGGACTCTAATGTGATCTCATGTGATGCATCTTCACTATCAGCTATATATAGGTTCTGTATGCAGATTTACCAAATAAGGAGAGTATGTGCCATGCAAAGAAAACACATTCTCTCATTTTCCTCCAAGTGTGACCACAACTATGTAGTCCTTTAACACGACTGTATAATGTTCCATTTCATCTGCCAATTAAGACCGCCTATAGGCATCTGTACGCTGTAAGCTGATGACGGTGAGATGCTCATTAACTATATTTACTTTCGAAGCAGCTCCCAGGGTCAGAACTAAAAGACTGCTATTAAGAAGCAGCAGACACATGTTTCTATTAGCAGAAGAAACATTATCTTAGGTTTTATGGGCATTTTGTAAGTACAGTTGTGTTCTGACTGTCTGCCTGATTCCTTTAAAGAATTTCTATCATGATGTTCTGCAATTTTTTTTTTTTTTTGCCATCTCTTTATAAAGGGACCTTGAATTGCCACGATTTTTCTATCTTCTCTTTCAATAATGTGCAGCAAACAGGCAAACTCCTGGCTGACTTAGTTCAGGTATCACACAAACTTTAATTCCTTTTGTGCTTTCTGATATAATGCAACCCCTCTGAAACACAAACAGCAAAGCTAGATTTGCTGGTGAGGGGCGAGTGAAGGAGGGTACATTTTATCCTCGATTATCAGATTAACAGGGCACAAAGATAAGCGATCGCGTCTGCATCACAATTAGTGACCGTACCATACAGAAAGAAGTGCACCATTAGCGGAGGGAGACAGGGATCGAATGAATGAAGGTGTGACAGCATTGAGTCAGTGTGCATGTGAGGGAACAATACCAATTAAGTAATTACTTAGAGGCTGGATGAGCCGCAATTATGGCGTGCAAGTTTCCATCACCATTAGTTTGCAGGTAAATAGGGTCCGTTGTCTCTCTGCGGTAATTACAGAGAGCGCTCTAGCCCTTACCTATGCTTTGAAAATTTTTAACTTTCCCCTTAAGCACAAAAGGCATGACAGTTAATTGCCATAAATGACACAGTGTCAGCCTGTATGTGTCTCGTCCTATGTGTGTTTCAATCCGCTAAAATAAATGATAATATGGTGAGGATATTTGCTATTGTGATATATCATAATGATGTGAGAAACTGATCAATCAGAAACTGACTACTTAAGTTGCTGCTGCTAAAAGGGTGCTTGCAAGTTATTGAATCCTCGTGTGAATGAGTGTGAAAATGCTCTTTTTCACGTAACTTTATGTAAACCTGTATTATGTACTGCATGCATTATGTTGCTGTAGTAATTTGCACATGTCCACTGGTGATGAAGTACATTACTAAATAGGCTTTTATGTTTGGCCCTGAACTGCAGCCAAGTTCTCTATCTATCTATCTAAAGAAACAATTATTTAAAAGTAATTTTTAATGAATTTTTGGAGATAGATCAGATGTTTATTATGTTCAAAAGCTGTGGCTAAAACATGAATATGAGACTTGATGTTCATCCAGTTTGCTCAAAAATTTATACATTTAAATATAAATATTAAAAATTGTATTTTTAATACCCGATTTAACCAGTAAGCACCAAAAATGAAACATTTCATGTACCTTATCTCACTGTTGTTCACAAATGCCCGTGGCATTATGTGCTTATGTTCAGGTGGCTGTATAATACTGAATAAAATTAGATATACACATTTCTGTGTGTATGTGTGTGTGTGTGTGTGTGTGCATGGCTTTTAATATTGGTCTTGGCTAGAGCTGCTTTATAAAGGTCTCCCCCCCCCCCTTATTAAAAACCAACAGTGCTTAAATATGCAAATCAAATCAAACTCTAAATGCTGACTGGAAAAAAACAGAAAAACATTCAACTTTTCAGACACTTTGACACATGCACATACTTACAGGCTTATGGATTCAGCCCCATTGTTTTGATTCCCATTAATGTTCACTGAATCCACACATTTGCACTCAATTAAGGCTTCTGTTTACATCCCATTAGCTTTCAATCTCCACATTTTCCCCACAGATGTAGAGAGCCATATTGATTTAATTTCCTTTCACTGTGGCTGTGGTTCAGGAGGGGATTTATAGGAACTTAAAAAAATAAAAAATAAAAATAAAGCTGATCAAAGCAATACTAATAGACTTGAAGACAAACTCCAGAATAACCAACTGCTGACATAGCGTTAGACAAGCTGATCTACTGCAGATTACTCGCATGTAGTTAGTATGACTTCTATTGATCTGCTTGCACAATCTGACTTGTCAGATCAATTGAAAAAGATGTAAAGGAGGAGTAGAGGCAGAAAAGGGAAAAAAGGGAGCCGCAAGATGGCAATACATGAGCAGAAAAAAAGTTATCTTAGGAATGGAAACAGGCAATCAAGGTTCTGGACAGACTAGAAGGGCTTGAAGCCGCAAGAGTATCAAAACAAGGCAGATATAACACTGGTTCCTTGACAGGTGCAGCGATTTGTGTTTTGTGATTCTGACCGGTGCATGCCTTTCAGCTTTGGAGTCATTTCCATTTCCCTCCCCTTCAGTCGGACCGTCTCTCATGAGGGCACTGGGCGATAAGACGGAGCAGTCCATTACAGAGGCATAAGGTCTACCAGTTCTCAAGTATTAATTCAAAACTGAGAGAAAATGATAATGATTCTCAAGGAATGGCAGGGGAGCTGCTGCTGGTTCTATAAATAGAATGAAGCGGTGTAGTCCGTGTGCCAATGCTTTCTTTACTGCACCATTTTTTCCCTTTTTTCAAAAGGTATCTTTCTTTTTTTTTTCCAATTTAGAAAAAGAGCCACTCCTCCTCATCACTTCTTCTTTTTCATTTCCTCTTTGCATGCTGCCTCTGCCTCTTCTGGATTTCAACTTTTCTTCACCGCAAGGCAATAAAAAAAAAATGTCATTATTGTCCTAAATCACTAGCAAAGGCAAAGACCATAGATAGTACACTATATGGCAAATGCCACAGGAAAAAGTCAGAATTTTCCCTTCAGTAAAGATTCTCTGACTCTGATTCTCATCTAAGACAAAGGAAGATTGGCCGTTTTACCTCGGAGCAAGCAGATAATGGTCCCCCAGATATCAAAGCAAGAAGGTGGAAAGAAATTAATTCGCCCAAACACAGATCTTCTTCTAAAACAGACTTGGGTGGTGATGCTCTCTCACTTGTTCTTCTTAAATAAAGAAATGCACATTAGATTGAAATGCTAATGTGATTTTAAAATTGCATTTGGTCCATTCTAGCACAGGTGCAGACTTTACAATCGTTACAAATGTGCACAGGACCAGCTGAAAATAGGAAAAGCAAATGTATATTCCTGGCAGGTTTTCAGACTAATCCCTGGCAAGTACACGGGCTCGGCAAGCACGACATAATTTATTACCAAACAGACCAACTGAGATAGTTGACAGAAAAATCACTGCGCTACACAAACATAACAGGTCTGAAATGTGTTCTCAAGCGTCAATTCCTTGAGGGTGTAGAGTGAGACAAACACTAAATTATATTATTCATTACAAACACAACTGTCAGGGTGTGCTCCCTAATTCGGAGCAGAAATTAGACGGATTTCACTCAAGCATGCGCCACATTTCTTCATCTTAAAAAATTTTTTTTTTTTTAAATTGTTTTTAACATGGTTGCAGATGCGCCTCCATGCAGCAAAGGCAACGTGAAATTCTGCGGCAAGTTCAACATTTCAAAAATGTGTGGTGCTGCACCTGCTGCTCTAAATTAAAAAAAGAGAAAAAAGCAAGATCAAATGTGCATCGCCATGGAGGTGGGGGACAAGACAGAGAAAGAAGAGCAGAGAGTGGAAGGTGCTCATTGATTGCCAAAACAGAAAATGTAACCACGCCATCCATCAATGCCGCCTGCCTGTCATGTGTGGAGCTTACTTGAGAGGCAGGAAAAAGGAACACAAAAAAAGCAAAAAATAGGAGCTATGCTCGCTACTTCTAGCTGCGGGGACCCCTTTCACTCTTCTGATGGAAAGCAAAAACAGAAACAATTCATGGAAACCACAGACCATGTTGAGCTGACTGCCCCTGACAGGTTCTCAGTGATTCCTGCTCGGCGCACGAAGGCTCATTCACGTCCTGAAAAACTGCACAATAAGACAGATATGAGGTTTGGCTCTGTCAATCGGGTACAACACGCAAGTGCGAGCACGCTGTGCAAAAGCTTCCATCGCGTGTTTAATTTGGCAATAAGAAAGGCTTTTACATGCCTGTCGCGTGGGATGACTCTAATTTATGTATGAAGGGTTGGAAAGAGGCTGACCAATACCCGTGACAAGTTACTGTACCAGATGCCAACATTTCATGACTTTAAGACTCATGTAGTGGCTCTTCTGGCTGTGATAGTAGCTCACAGAGAATAGAAGACTGAACAATAGGAATGCAAATGAGCAGGCACCTCATAGCAGTCTTACCTGTCTGATGCCTAGTCTGTAGGCAACAATACGGTCCACAGCATTTGGGTTCATCTGGGTCCACTGTAGCTTGAAGCCATAGACCCTTGGCCTGTTCTGCCACAGAGGGTTGTAGGTATCATAGTAGAACTCCGGGGGGTAGGCTTTCCCTAGAGAGAGAAATAATTAAAAATAATGACCATATTTATCACAAAACAGACCTAGTCATAACGAGACATCAAACCTTTGGGAATCAAGGGTGCGTTTAATCACGTGTAACTATCACAATAAATACGTTTCCCTAACTTTGTTATCTTAAGTAAGCTGTACTTTGTTTTTCTAAGGAATCAAGTTTGCATGTTTTTTCAATTCTGGGAACTAATTCAATTTTTAAGTGTATAAAATTCTTATTTCTGTGACAACTGTCACCTCCTCGTCTTGTAAACTGACAATTTTTCCAGTCCAGATTTAATAAACAGGTCAAATCAGTCTAAAAAAAACACGAACAATGTGCTAATTTCTAATCAAACAGACGGTTCATTTCAGTAATGACCAGCATTCTACAAAGAGCAGCTCAAATTAGCAGGTCAGAAATGAGCAGACCTGATGAGGGCGTATGAGGAACTGAGCAATGTACTAACAAAACTAGTGCAGTGTAAGGGCAGCTTTTATGCACATGTTTCTGTCTGGAAACAGCAGGGCAATTGAAATCAACAAGAGGCAGCAGAGGAAGAATTAATATGTATTTGATGCTCATTTTTACCCTACTAATTTGAGCTGCTCTTGGTAGATTGCGTCTGTAATTACTGCGATGAGCTGGCTGCTTTGCAGTCTATAAATCTATAAATGAATGCATTGTTAACAGATCACCTACACAACTTTCCACCGCCATCAGAATACCTCTGTTTATTTTTCTTGTTTAGCAAATATGGCCCTTGGACTTCCTTTAAGCCAAAAGTAATTGACGTAGGATAACAAAGGCAGTTATCACAGCGTTGGGAAGTTTACTTTTAAAATGTATTCCACTACAGATTACAGAATACATGCCCCAAAATGTATTTTGTAAGTATTCTGTTACGTTACTCAATGAGAGTAACGTATTCTGAATACTTTGGATTACTTAATATATTATCATGCTTTTTACAACTACATGAATGTACTATTGCTATGTGATTTATTACTTTTACTAAAGGTTATTCGCCATACCAACTAGATTTTTAAATCTTAATATATATGAGTAACAGTAGGTGGACATTAGGTAAGGCTGCACTTTTTGCAGCGATCTCACATAGAAAACTATTCCGCGCGAATACAAAACAGGTCCGCGGCTCCGAACCATAAAGGCATAAAACCGTAAAGAGACCTCTGTCTAATCCCATATGGAAAAGAAATAGTAAAAACTTACATGATTTACTCATGAAAGTGGCCACTTTCTCATTACTTTCATATATTGTTTTAGTAAGTATCCAAAACATACAAGTTTCATTATATAATTTTTCAAGGGATCTTATATGTGTTTTCACTCTTGCATGCTTTTCATACAAGTTTCAGACAAGACAGATACAAACTTTATAAGATTTATATAAATCTTTTCCATATGGGATACGTCGGGCTCCGTGTCGGGCTCTGTGTCGGGCTCCGTGTCGGGCTCCGTGTCGGGCTCGTAGCCGAAAACTAGCTTTACTTTTGTTGTCTGGGTCAACTTTGTATATATATATATATTTACATTCTTCCATCTCCCGTTTCTGGTCGGTGACATCTCTTACTTTTCGACTCTTTTTCTCCTTCCCTCGCACTCACAGACACGGACTCCACTGCCCATGAGGCTACATTCTTTAGGGCTATGCCTGTAACACTCTGCCTATTGCCTTCATATTAAATTATTTTTGTGAATAATTTTTAAATTTTTTAAAAAATATTTCTTCACGCCGCAAGTAGAGGTGACATGGGCTGGGTTTCCATCTGGCGTGGACACCAAAAATATAGAGTTCATAGCCTTATGAAATAGGAAAATACCGCCGTGTAATCCATTCATTTCAACAAAGTAACTGTATTCTGAATACCACCTTTTAAAATGGTAACTGTAACGGAATACAGTTACTTATATTTTGTATTTTAAATACGTAACGGCGGTACATGTATTCCGTTACTCCCCAACACTCTTGGTGTGTGATGTATATATATTAATATATATATATATATATATATATATATATTATATGTACTGTATATATATATATAATATATTTTTTTTACATTACGCCATACTCCTGGTTTGAGTGATTCTCACCTGCCTTTTCTTCTAATAACATAGTTAACTTTGTGAGAATTAATTTTATGCCCACATGTGGCACAAACTAAATGAATCTTTCAACTTTTCAGCTTTCCGGTCACAGTAGGAAAGCTGATTTCTGACAGCTCGAGAAGGAACTGGCAGAACACGGCATTTTAATCAAGATCCAGAAACAAGCTTACAGGATGACCTTCCAGGCAAAGAATAGTAATTCACCTCAATGACACGTTGTTGTGTTTGTCCCTCTGCTTCTTGGGCTTGTTTATTGAGGGATGACAATACCCAAGGCAGATGATTTTTAATAACCATGGAAAAGACAGCAGAGCTGCCATTGTTAGCTCAAACAAAAGCGGCGCTGGGATTTGATGAACCTGTGTGAAGATTTAGCAAGCAGTTTATGAATGTCAGGCAATTGGATAAACCTGTCAAGTTAGTTTATGTCACTGACGAATTATAATAGCATTATTTGCTCCTGAGTCCTTCCCTGTGGCCTCCTTAGTGTGACAGACCCTTGAACCATTTGGTTTCCTTTGATTTTGAAAATGATGATTATACTCCTGGGAGGATACGAAGCAAGAGTTGTGCGTGTGGTGTATGTGAGGGGTCCCTTCATCCAGTAAGATACTGGTATTCAGAGAGAGTCAGTAGAAACTTGACAGCTGATTGCTCTAAATGACACAACACTGAAGCATATTGTTGTACTGGGTGGCATTTTGTTATAATGTTGTGTACACATGCCAGTTCTTCTGTTGCTGTAAAGACATCACCAAATGCTGTTTAAGTGCAGCTTAATAGGCATGTGCTTAATAACAGGGTTTCCTGCTAAACAGCAGGTAACTTGAATTCATCAAATTCACTTTTATGTAGTTTGGTAGAAAGAAATTTGATCTCAAAGGTTTGCAGAATATTCTAGTACTAACTAAAGTTGCAGTGAGACCAAATAAAAGCCATTGTTCACTCACAGCTGTATAATCCTCAGCATCAGTTCTCATTAGAGCAAAATGGCAAAAAGTAGCTGCGCATACTGGCCTCAAACAAAATCTACTGAATATTTACGTACATTTATGGAACAATTTCATAATTTCTTTGATTGCGCTGCATCAGAGCTGAGGTTTAAACACATTCACTTAGGCTTTAATCACTCAAATCTAAGCCAGAAGTGGGGAAACTGCACATGTACGACAAAAACACAAAACAAGACTTGTGGTTTCATTCATCGTCTGACTGGTTTGATCAATTCTCATAATCGTCCAGTATAAAAAGCCAAAATCAGCACAGCACAAGCAGTGCGTTTGGTTCTTTGGTCTAGATAATAAATCAGGTTAATGGTGCTCTAGGCAGCATACTACAGATGACGTGGCCTTTTTCATGGATAAAGCTATTTAAAATGCAATATTCTGATCGGAAGGAAAACAATGCACATTCATCAGCCTGATAAAATAAAACCATTGTGAGTGAGAAACTAGTACAGACAAGTACAGCGAAAGAGAGAAAATTACGCAGTACTTTTTTTCTAGGTTTTACCTGTTTTATGTTGAGCTGTGGAATATGTCTCAAAAGTTCATCAGCAGTCTACTGCAAGGTAAACCTGTCTGTTATAACAGATGACACTATCTCACAAACTGCCTCCGTGTCTCGCTGAGATACTAATGAAACCAGCAAAACACATTTCCCAACTAAAATAAATAATTAAATAAAAAAAAAAACAAGGATAATTACCGTCTGCACTTTGCTTGGCACTGTTTTGCCGTATAGAGCCAGCTGTGTTTACAGCATATTGTACAGCTAATGTTACATAAACCCGCCTGGCAGATAATGTCAGACTTAGTCATGCAGCATATACAGTACAGTAAAGCCGATAAGGAAAAAGAAAAAGGCTGCAATTTGCAGTAGAGAGCAGGCAGGGAATGTTAATTAAACTCACTCACATTGTTGTCTGGATCAGTAAATTAGCTTAAAGATTTCCACACAGACCCTGTTTCAGAAAAAGCCCCAAAACAAAACAAAAAAACAAAACATGAAAAGACTCTTTTCATACTTTTCTTAGAAGTTTGACACGGAAGTCTTTATACTAATGCGCCGCATTCATTAATCTTATTTTGGGGAACATTTTTTTTTCTCAAAGTACATTTCTTACAGACAAATATCACAGACTCGCACGGCAAATTATTGCCTTTTATTCAAATATACAGTGTAATGAAGCAACATGGCCTTTGCTCCTAATAATATGTTATGTGTGGTGAAGCACATTACCTAACCCACTTATGCAGCCTGAAACAGATAACCCTGGGTGGGAGACATCAAACATAAAGTACAGAGGGCTTAATTGATTTTTTAAAATCCTGTTTATAACAGCATAACCAATGCAATGATTCATACAGCTCAGTGAAAGCCTTCAGGCAAGAAGTTGACCTTGTTTGCAGACTTCCTTTTTACTTTTTAAGGGTTTATGAACATGTTTTCATCTTTAGGAGTGCAGTTATATGCTAAGCAATTCCTATATGATTCTGGGTTTTTTTTTGCTTTTCTTTTTATTTGGCAGGAAGTAGGCCTACATATGGATGCACAGCTGGCCGAGACAAACAAATAACACCAAAGCAGGAACTGCTAACAGACAAAGGTATTATAGGGCGGCGGTAATCACGTGGTGCCCCTTATGGGAACGCAAAATAAATCTCTATGTGTCTTTTTTTCCTTAAGGGAAACAGCACAGAACTCGCAATGAGTCACTTCTACATTTACAGTCTTCCTTCCTCCTCGACTAATCAGTTCAGTACAAAAAAGGATAAACGTTTTAATCGTTGCTGATATTAAAAAGCCCAGTGACTTCCGATTTCATCCTTCTTGGTCCGTGTAAACTGAAGGCTGCTCTAGAGTGACTAATGTTGAGATATTGTGCTGATATAAAAGAAGCAGAACTACAAAAATAGGCCAGAAAATACAAAATAAAGAAAGCAGAAAAAAAAGACCCGAACAGACTGCATCTGTCCTTCAAGCCTGACAGACTTTCAGTCTGATCACAGATAACATTATTCAGATGCTTTTCACTCTGACTATATACTGTTAGGCATTATGACCAACAGGATCCATCAGTGTCAGCATGTCTCCTTGAGCTGCATGAACTATTCAGACTCATTCTCCATGTACTGCAGGGTTGCAGTTCAAGCCAGGTGAACTGGGCACAGACTTTAAAAGGCAGGCAGACGACTTACTTAAAACCACCAAAGGTAAGGCACAAATCTGTGCTGGAGACCAAAGATGATAAGGTTTATAAATCCCTGACTCAGAGAAGAGTGCAGGTTTGAAAGCAAAGTCAATTTAGCTTTTGCTTTTATTTAAAAACATAAAAAATAAAAGAGACAGAAATATCACACAAAAGCACCAGATAGTAACTTAGCAGGAGGCCCAAGGGGCCTGTTTAAGACACATCTCAAAAAGAAAAGCTGAATAAATAAAAATGAAATAAACATTACTGAAAACAGATGATAGATCAAAAAAATAAAATATGAAAATAGCCTGAATGCAGAAAATGCACTCCAAAAGAGACAAAAAATGTGAGAGTAAGTGTTTCACAATAAAAGGAAAAACATTTTCTTATGACAGCAAATCGCACTGCAGCTAACTTTTGCACTATTGGCACACAGTTTCTGCAGCATTAGGAACAATGACTGAATGACTGAAAAAAAGGATACTGGAACCATACAAGCACAGCATTATGTGGAATCTGAATTCATTTCACAGGCACACTCACACAATGCAGACAATGTCTATCTGAACATTGTCCCTGAGAATTTAATTGTTCCTCTCTTCTAATTTACAACTGGCTGCCAGAAATGGGGCTTAAGCAGGAAGGCGGCAGAGAAATGAGAAACACTGCTTGTTTTTTCTTTGTAAATTTCGGAAATCCAACAAAATTATAGTACTGCAGTTTGCATTGTTTGTACTGGTCAATGGAGAGAAAAGACACGTGCTGGGCAATTTTATGCAGACTTTGTTGCCTGTGCAGAGATTGGACATATGTTGGAACTCTCCAGTCATTTTACACTTAAAGATTAGATCAGTCATGCCTGTGAAATTAGCTGTATAAAGTTTTGTATGGCTCTGAAGGAAGCATTGGAAGATTTTAGGTAAAAAGATTCATTATCATCATATATTACATATCATATGACTATAATAAATAAATGCTACTCTTGATAGATTTTCCCTTGACTAAATAAAACTTTCTATGTATCTTAAATCCTGAAGACAAGTAGCAGACCTCAATTGCCCTCCTTTAAAAGCACTATAGGCTTTAAAAATATCCCAGATTTCTTTCTTAATGCTGCAGCACCCTGCTCTTCCCCCATAACTAAAAAGGCTCAAATAATGATCAATGATAATCATCAGGTTAACCTTTTTTTCTAGACTGAGTCTTAAAAATATGCTAATACAAACTGGAGGCATGGCCTTTGAAAGAAATGCACAATCTGGGCACTACTGAAGGATATGTAGAAACTGTAGTTTACCATTCGTTAAAACTATTATAAACAAAACATTGACCATTGTTCTGTCTTTGTAAACTCTACAATAGAATAAGTGAATTAACTGCTATAATATTTTTCTAAATACCAAGCTTGTCAGTGTTTCACTCAGATACTGTCACAGATCACATTAAAGATGGGCACACCTTTATGCCTGAAAAGTTAAGCTAATACAAACGAGTCTTAAACCTACATTCCTTTTACTGGCCAGTAGGGGGAGACTCCTGTGGTTGCAAAAAGAAGTCCAGTTGTAATTACGCAGGAAAACAGATCATGACTCCCTTTGTGACCAAACTAAACACTTTCCTGAGGATGTATTAGACTGGAATGCTAGTTTCACACCTTAATGAATACAGAGCAATGCTTATTTTGTTCATTATGGTCAGCCTATGTTAGAAAAAACAAGGTCTATAAGTATACGTAAGTATGCAGCATCCCTTGATCTGAGTATCAGATCCGGCTTGTCAAGTCGAGTTGATGCAATGCTTATGGCGGAGAAATTCTCTGTTTGAGAATTTACAGCAGGACTTTCCACACCAACAGTAATGTCACAGGAGCCATGTGCATCTTTACTCGAAACTCTATGATCAGTGAACATTTACTTGCTATCTATTCTGAGGAGCGTGATTTGAGCATTTGCTAACAACTCAGGGTTCCCACGACAGAGAGCCCGAGCCAAAGCTCAGTGGTACACATTACATTCCTCTGAGGGGTCTCTCCCCAGGCACAATTTAATGGCCAACTTGGCCATTAGAGCCAACTCACTGTTCCCACAGATGTCCCCATGGCTTGGCACATGGGCATCCATGCATATGCACACACACTCTCCTTTGGCACAATACACTTTTCCAGGCGACAGAATTTATGGGCTAATAATGGCCTGCTGCCTAACTATGGTGTGTTTGCATGTGTCTGTCGGCATGGTAACATGTATGCTGCTCACATGTTGACTGAATCCGAAATCCAAGGACTGTGGGCCAAAACTCTCAACTCATACTTTTCACATGCTAACACAGCCTGAGAAGACGTCAGACATAGAGCGATGGGAGAACGTCTACTGGCTTGTCTACCTGTCTTGGTAAAGTGAGTTTAAACCAAGGTGCCATCTAATTACATGAGCTACACCAATATTTTGCAAGTCTTGTCGAGAAACAGTCTTACAAGTCGCAGACAGGAGATGATATGCACTTCTTCTACTGCAGGGTATTGCCTGATTTCATGGCATTTTAGTTTTAGAATAAAATTAAAAATTTTAACTATCGAGAGCTGGAATTAGGAGACTGAGGCATGGCAGGTTTCATAGATGATGCAATGAACCAAAGTGGATTTTCTGCACCATACTCCTGTACTCAGGGAGTTACTAAAAGAGCCTCCATACCTTTGGCAACCACTGAGTCCAGATGGTGGGAATCTGGAGCACTGGGCGGGAGGAATGGAGCAATAGAGGGCGAGGGAGGGAAGGAGGGATAGAGGATGAAAGGGAGTGGAAGTAGGAAGAGGGAGGGAGCATGAGCAATAGAAGGCAAAACCCCAGCCCTGCTGAGAAAAACAAATGGCTGGAGGGAACTAGCTGCTTCTGTCTCTCTGTTCTACCTGTTTCCCCAGGAAGGGGATTTATGGCACGCACTGTGTGTGTGTGTGTGTGGGGGGGGAGTCAAGCTGGAAAGGAGGATGAGAGAGTGGGGTTTGAAAATGAGAAAGATGAAGAATGTGGAAAAGAAAATGGACACAGAGAGAACTAAAGGCTATAAAAAAAATCAAGTGCAGCCAAGGTATGATTAGAACGCAGAAAGAGATAGAGAGAAATAGACACTATCAAAGAGAAGAGCGACCTAAGTGCCAGAGGATCAAAGTGACAAATACTCCTCCTGTGACCCTGCAGCTCCTGTCTCTAATAGGAGGTCTGGGAGATTGAAACCTTGGCCAAAGTTCCTGAGGACTCTCAGTGTAGCCAAACTAATTTTGTCCTGTCATAACAAAAGACTGGGAGACGATCATTTGGATCTCACAATGGAGGGAAAAAAAATGTAACAAAAACAGATGAAAGAAGGTAAAAGAAAGACCTGACATAATGGACATGCCTAATTCAGATCAGCAATCTATGATTTATCTTTCCCTTTAGTCTTCTTTATATAAATTGTCTATCATATAAAGAGGCAGACACACACCCCAAAACAATATGAGACAAGGCCTTCTAAGCTTTTTGTTCAGCCAATTGCATCTGTCAAAACAACCCTTTAATTATCAATTGAATAGCGTACTAAAAAAAATCTTCTGTTGACATGCCAACGTATGGTAAAAGAATAAAGGCTAAATGACTGTTATTAAATGCAGCTATCTGGATCAAACACAGTCACAGACAGCCAGGCTTATAGCACTAATACCAGTATGGAGTTATGTTTCTGTGAGAGAGAAAGAGCGGAAGTAAGTAACTTAAAATAAATGACCATTAAAAAAAGAAACAAAAGAAAAAAGAAAAAACAAACAAACACAAAATCGCTCCTAGCTTAGCTACTCCTAGTTTAGCAACTATAGCGCTGGTCATTTGAGGTCTGTGTAGCTTGAAATTTCTCTACATGTTGAAACAGTAAGCAGGAGGGCTCCTAGTAAGAAAAATATTTCTGGGATACAGAGCTGGGCAATAAATCTTGTTCTTTTTAGCCACGAGAAAGACAAACTTTAACACTGCTGCTATTAGTCAACTTTACTGGCTAACTAGCATGTGATACTATACTGTATTTCCAAAAGTATTCATTCACCTATTCAAATAATTGAATTCAGTTGTTCCTTCATGGCTACTGGTGTATAAAATGAAATGGCTAGCAAACTGGTTCTAAAAATATTTGTGAAAAAGTGGGTCGCTCTCAGGTCGCTCAGCGAATTCAAATCAGAGTGGAGACTGTGAGCCTTACCTTCTGATCCAGCATCAGTGTTTGACCTCACAAATGCACTTCTAGAATAATGGTTAAAAAATTCTCACAAACACACCCCTAAAGCTTGTGGAAAGCCTTTCCAGATATGAAGGTGTTATATCTACAAAGGGTGGAGTGACATCATATTAAACCTATGGACTAAGAGCGGGATGTCACTCAAGTTCATATGCATGTAAAGGCAGACGAGTGAATACTTCTGGCAAAGAAAGCAGGTGTGGAAAGAGTAGCTTAATGTCAGCTACATCCTCTTGCTTCAGATGAGGGAAATCTCAGCTCAGCAACATCATTTAAACTGCAGTAGTGTAGGATTTCAGTTTGTTTATGATTTGCTGTTATTGGTTGGGCTTCATTACTGCTCCTTGTTTTTGACTAATGTAAGGTTGTGCTTTGATTCCTGTTTGTTAACATAAATTATTCCAGTATTTTGAGGGTTTTTTCTTTTGTTTTTAAAATTATAGTTATTGGTTAGTATTTATAGAGATTGTTATTTACCTTTCATTACTTGTGTTTTCTTTGTATATTGGTTTACCCTTCTAGCATCTGCAATGTTCTGTGTATCATGTGGACTGAATTTTCTGTTTATTTATTTTTTTGTTACTTGCTCTCTTGTGCCTTCTTTTGAATTATACTTTCTATCTGTTGATTGTCTTGATTGTGTACACCTGTGTCTGGGTTTACACAGCTGTATTCACTTCCCTTGATTGGCCCTTGGTGTCTCTTTGTGAGAATATACAGCCCTGGCTCTCTTTTGTCTTTGTCACTGTATCTGTGTACCATCGCTGTGCTCCTCCTTAGTGTCTAGCCTGTTAATTCCTGGAGGTTTATAGCTTTGCAGTTTGGTTCCTTCTGGATCTTAAAAAAATACCTTCAACTTCTACACACAACTTAATAAGAGGTTAGTTTTTTGTTTACTTAGGTTTTCTGAAACTCTTGGATTTGTATCTAATTCTAACCAGTATTCCTCTGAGATTTGATCACATTTATATGCATCCTAAAACTAAAAACCTTTTTTTCCCCTTGTAATGTTAAAATTGAAACATACTCCTTGAAATCCCAAAAAAAGAATTAATCTTCAGCCGTTTAGCATATATAGCCCATATTTGCCTGGAATATTAAAATGACATCTAGCATTTTCGTACATGTCAGGAAGCTAAAGTAGCTGTGGCTATCCAGCTACAGTTGATGCAATCTGCTGGCAATAGCAGTTATTCAGCTGAAATAAAAGTCTACCTCTGTGTGAAGTGAGGGGCCTTCATTTTGAAAATGAGTTGTGCTGTTTCTCACATTGCATACTCCTGTTTACTATTTAAGTGTGACTACATGCTGGGAAAAGGTAAAAAAAAAAAAAAACACTGACAAAATTACCTGTTAAAAACCCACACTCAAAAGTTTCCACTTTGACTACAATGGAAGGAAAAGACCACCAAGAATTTTTATCCACGGCTTCTAAACTAATTGTAATGCCACGTTATGGCTCGGGCACACGAAACTAAAAATAGTATGGCAATCTCCATGCAACTGGTGGACATTGCCCACCGATTGCATTGAGTTTTTAATAACAACATCTTTGCACAGGTCGCCTGGTGTGAAGGAACCTGTCTCTAAATTGCTCTCCAACTGCTTACCAACTACTTCTATTCTAGTTACATAAAGAAGCAGCAACTATGGCACTTTTTTAAAGGAATTTCCGAATTTGTGTTTTACATCTATCTGGTTCTGGCTGGACTGCGAATGGAAGTAGTTAATATGAGTTTCTGTTTAATTCATCAGAGCCAAATGTTGCAAATTTCTATTTCAGAAAATGCTACCCTGTAAAAGTATGTATTACACAGATAAGGATGCAGTATACATTTTGTACTGGAACTATACTAACAATATTAGACACAGTGACAAATCATTGTTCGTTCACCATGTGTCAAACAAATGTAGAAAAGCTAACATAAAGAGGAAAAGTAACTAAACCAAGCGGAAAAAGATTCTAGAAGAATAAAAAAGGAAATATGAAATGAAATGGAAAGCACTTTTTTTTTTTACCTGTAACCTGGAAAGTGCATTTGCCTGCTCCAGCCTCATTGATGACATTACAGGTGTACTCGCCCCAGCCATCACGATTTAGGCTGCGGATGGTGTACTCCGTCTCATCTCGCTGGGCGTCAAAAGCTCCCGCGTGGAGCAGCCGGTTAGAGAGAAGCCACTCGAAGCGCAACACACGGGAGGGGTGGGCTCGCAGCACTCTGCAGGTCATCACTACGGGCCTTCCAAGACCCTGACGCATCTCCATGAAAACAGGCTCCACTGTTGGAGGGTCTGAGCAGGAGACACAAAAGCTCAGGAGAGTTCACAGATATTTGACAAGGACAGAAAAGTGTGTCAAGGATGGAAAAAAAAATAGAAAAGAAAAATACTTTGGATGAATAAAGACAAGAAGAGTGAGGTTAGGGCACCAAAGTGAGAGCAAGGACAAACACCTGGAATAAAGAAAAGGTGATACATATGACATGAATATAACCTTGGATATTTAAAAACACAAACAAGGACATTTATTAAAATGTAAAAACACATGCACAATGATTTCAAGTGATGTAGTTGATGTTCACTGAGGATCTACAAATGACAAAGCTGAAAAGATGTTTTTTTTTTTTTTAATTAGAAAAAAACCCCCAGGTATTATAATATGAATGTAGCAAGTGAAGCAGCGTAGAGAGAGAGAAAAAGGTGATATTTAAGCAAACTGTAGAAAACAAACTAAACTGCAAATTCAATACACTTCACCAACAGATGAAAAATGAAAACAATTGTGGAGAGACCGGTAATAGCTGCCAGAAGATCAATTTTGCAAAACGACTGGGACAACTTTTGAAACAAAAACCAGTTGAACTTCACAGAAAATTGGTTATCTGGATGATAAAATACACCTCAAACTTTCAGAAAGTAAAATTAATAACTTATTTGAGTAACTGACAGGCTTTACCTCATCCCCCCCAACACAGAGTACACAGTGGTAAATAATTTAGCCACGTTTCAGTGAGCGAAGTCAGGAGCTAAACGACCTTGCTGCAACCCCGAACTTGAATCTGCAAAAGTTTAATATGTGTGGGTGATGTTTTGCAAATGTTTTGCCAGACTGTGTGCACGGTGACACGTGTGGAGGGTTTTTTGGATGAACAAAATGGGTGTAAGCACTTGTGTGTGGAAGCACTGAAAAGGTTATGAATAATTTCCCCATTTTAAGCGTCTCTGCTCCTGACACGCTCATACAGATGCTTGACAAAAGTCACGACGGGGCTTGAAAAACAACAAGAATCTGGAGGAGCAGAGACAGAATGACATGGAGCCCCTTAATTGCCTGAAATTTGCATAATTCCTGATGGAGTAAAGGAGAGGCGGTAGCTATAGCCAAGGCCGGGGATGCTGTTTTTCAAAATGTAGTCTGTTACAGATCACTGATTACCTGATTGAAACTGTAATCTGCAGCATAATCTTCGACATTATTCACACTCGGTAATATAATCTAATTACTGAGCCTTCCATATTTGATAGGGGAATGCAATTAAATGAACAGTGTATTAAAATTTACAGGATATAATTTGATAACAGTATTAATGTCATTATCCACAACCTTAATCAGCCATTTTTTTTTTCATAAGATTCGCAAAATTCTGAGGCTTTATTTTGACGGTTTGAATGTTGAATGTGTTTTCAGCAGAACCTTTTTTTCTCCACTTTTGCACTTAATTGAGTTTGCTTCACCCCAGGATCTTAGAGCAGGGGCACGTCTACGAGGCCAGTCAAGTGTACAGGGAAATGTGGGATGTAAACATCATAGTGAATGCAAAATAATACACTGGCATAAAACGGTCCAAAGTGGGATTTTCCATTCTTGCCCTCAGTGCTAATTATCTCTCAACACACAGCATCCTGCTATTCACTCATGAGCCACAATGATTAATGACACACCATTAGATCAGATAATGAGTGGCTGAAATGTAAAAATAACCAAAAAAACCTCATAACACTAGGTGATAGGAAGAGTAAACACAGATCTTTCAAGAGGTTTGGACTTAATGGAAATAGAGATACAAGTTTGTCTCCTTCACCTGATTTTGTTCACGGAGAGTAAAGTGGTTTTCATCACCTCTGAATGAAACAGCAATCAGTTCCTTCTTCAATTGAGCATTGCCTGGGCTTTTACCCAAACCCAAAAGGCTTATCTCTGACTCCAAAAAAGGTCTGGAATTCTACTTATCACATTAAAATTGTAGGTTTGTGTGGTGCAGTGAATCACAGTTAGCTCCGCAGCCTCCCTGAGTGGCACTAGACCAAATTGCAGTAAGTGCAGTTCCACTCACACAGAGAGACAAATGAAGATGCAGCAAATAAAGAAAAAAGAAAAGGGAAAATCTCTTATATAACCAAAACATCCTTTAAACAAGGGCACATGCCTCATCACCCCCTGTGCATTTCCTGTGAAACAGCTGCCCGGCGAACTCGAGGAGAAAGGAGCAGAAAGGTCCTTTGTGATATTCCCTGAGCAGTGCTCGCCATGGTTAGCGTAGCAGTGAGGGTGACGTGTGCTCAGAGTTGCAGTAAGTCGCAGGCTCGGGGAAAACCCTGAGCGCTAGCTGAAGTGCAATCCATCATCAGTCACTAGTGGGTACCTTGACAGTAATGTGGAGAAAAACAACATTTAGGAGCGCTCAGGTCTTGTCCCCATGGTCCATGAGCACGGACATCTACAGGGAGGAGGCCTGAATAAAGACTCACGTGTACCGAGAGGAAGGGGTGTGCATGTTTGTTTTGTGCATGGAAAGCTGAGGTGTATTGTGTCCACCTACGTTTCTGAAATAGTGTCCGCTTGACTGGTTAACAATAAACTTGAGTTTCAATCAAAATGGATTCCATTTTTCTTCTGCCTGTTTTGAGTGGGGAAGTGTCAGACGTTTATTTGGTCCCTATTTTTCTTTCATCTATTTTCTTGTCTGACAGTAATCCCTCAGGGCAGCCATTTTACATAAAGTTAAAGTACCCATACAATGATACAATTACAAATCTTTCATTCAAAATTTTAATTAAATGAGGCAACGTGAGTTTTAAAAATGTACTTCAAAGAAAACAAAAAAAGGCAGCATAAGGAATGCCCCAGACAAAATCTGTGACATTATTAGTCTAAGTTCCTCCCCCCCAAAAAGTAGATATTAAAAACATTATGGATTCTCCAATAATGAATGACCAGCACAAACAAATAAAAAAATGGTTTTCAGTACAGGAAAGGTAAAAAGATATTGACTTGGTTGCTAAAGTGAATGGTGTATAGTGTTAACCACAGTTATTTTGGTATTATCTGATTTGTATCTGCATACTAACATCTAATTCTTGGGTGTTCAATGTAAAAATAGTTAAGACCATCACCAAAACTCAATGTTTCATGATTTTACCCCCAATAAAAAAGGAGCTGTTGCTTCTCAGTCTTGATAGGTTGACCAAAGTCAGTGAAAAAAAGTTGTGGAAATCTACATTATGTGAGATCAAAAATAGGGAAAAATGTTAAAATGCAGAGTGTTCTCTCTGCTCCTGAGGTACATATAGCGTGGTGTAAAAAAGTGTTTGCCCCTTTACTTGATTTCCTAGTTTTTCATATTTGTCATACAAACACACCACGTTTCAGATCACTACACAAATTTTAAATATTAGACAAAGATAACCCAAGTAAATTCAAAATGCAGTTTTTAAATGCTGATTTCTTCGATTAAAGGTTAAATGTTATCCAGACTTACCTCGCCTTTTGTGAAAAAGTAATTGCCCCTGTTGTTAAAACATGAAGTAACTGTAACCACTTTTTATGAAAAGCTGAATTCAGTTTCACTAAACATGCTCAGGCCTGATTACTGGCAGACTTGTTGAATAAAGAAATTACTCAAATAGAACCTGTCTGACAAAGTGAAGCAGGCGAAAAGAGCTCAAAAAGCAACACATCGTGCTATGACCTAAAGGATCACCTGAGAAACAAAGTCACTGACAGCCATCAGTCTGGAAAAGGTTACAAAGCATTTCTAAGACTTTGGAACTCCAGTGAACCACAGCGAGAGCCATTATCCACAAATTGAGAAAAACTTCGAATAGTGGTGAAACTTCCCAGGAGTGACCAGCCTACCAAAATTACTCCAAGAGCACATCAACAACTCATCCAGGAGGTCACGAAAGAACCCAGAACAACATTAAAGCACTCCAGGCTTCACATGTCTCCGTTAAGGCCAGAGTTCATGATTTAACAATAAGAAAGAGACTGAGCAAGAGAAGAATTGAAGGAGAAAAACACTGCTGACCAAAAATGTCTCACATTTGCCAAAAAAACATCTTGATGATCCCAGAAACTTTTAGGAAAATATTCTGTGGACTGAGGAGACAAAAGCTGAACTTTCTGGAAGGTTTTGAGTGCTGTTACACCTGGAAAAGGAACATCATACCAGCAGTAAAATATGGTGGTGGTAATGTGATGGTCTGGGTCTGTTTAGCTGTCTCGGGACCTGGAAGACTTGCCGTGGTAAATGGAGCCATGAATTTTGGCACCTACCAAAACATCTTGAAGGAGAATGTTCGGCCATCTGTCTGTGACCTCAAGCTGAAGCACACTCGGGTTCTGTACCAGGACAAGGATCCAAAACACAACAGGAAGACCACCTCTGAATGGCTTACGAAAAACAAAATGAAGACTTTGGAGTGGCCTATTCAAAGTCCTGACCTGAATCTGATTGAGATGCTGTGGCATGACCCTAAAAAGGCAGTTCATGCTCTAAAACCCTCTGATGCGGCTGAATACAGCAATTCTGCATGGATAAGTGGGCCAAAATTTCTCCACAGTGTTGTAAAAGATTCATTGCCAGTTGTCACAATTTTGAAACTGCATTTTGTGTTTACTTGGGTTAACACGCACACACACACCACACCACTGTTGTGCTCTCACTATGCTACTAATATAGGTCTTAATAGCACATCTAAATTTATTGCAATTTAAGCATAGACAAACTAGACAAACCAGAAGAGGATTATGTGACATCGCAAGCGCTAACTGCTCAGATATTACTGATATGTTAGGCCCCAGTCACACAGGACTAGATACCAGCTGGCAACCTTCTGTCAATATCTGGTCACAAGGGATAAATATGTATTATCGAATTGGTGAGTCATTGTTGGGGGTTGCTGGCTAGGTAAAATCAGTCCCAAAGAGGTGTTACCCTAAAAGATTCCTTGTGATGCCTCGGTTACCATTTTTTTGCATGCAACATGCAGATAGAAATACCCGTAAACAC